TTCTTTATAGCCTCAAAACTTAAGATGATACTTGGCTATAATGTGGAAACATGTGACAGAGTAATTTTCTGGGTAGAAAAAACTTTGATTATGCTACAATGATATTATGGAAGTTTTATGAATTTGAAGATATAATTATAGTCTGTGTTATAGACTTTAGATCTTATGGTATTGCTTCACTGAGCCAGGTTGTAATAACCCTTAGAGTTTTCTGTAAACAAAGGGAATATTTTCAGTGAAGTTGTTTTCTAATGAGAACAATTGTTATTGGATTTTACACTGTTGGTATTTCTGGCAAAGTAGTGATAGTGGTGTAGCAGGTAGTCAACTGTCAACTAAATATTTAGCTGGTCATAAAGTTGGTCCCAGAAATACCAACTTTATGACCCTAAAACTGATGCTCCCCAGTGAGGTTCAAAAGTAGGAACTGGTCACTTCTCAGGTCCTGTCCTTCCTTCCTTCCTTCCTTCCTTCCTTCCTTCCTTCCTTCCTTCCTTCCTTCCTTCCTTCCTTCCTCCCTTCCTCCCTCCCTCCCTCCCTTCTTTCCTTTTGTTATTTCTTCCCCTATTCTTTTTTTCTTTGTTAGAAGGAAAAGCAGTAGATAAGAGAAAAGGATGGAGAGAGAACAAGGAAGACATAAAATACTGTTCCTAGATGGTAAGTGGCAATAGAAAATTGAAGAGATCAGGAAAGGGAAGGCTTAAGGTAAAGTAGGGGCTTGGTCTGGGATTGAGAGCATGGGGGACATAAATGTAGTCAGTCATAGAAAGAACCTCAGATCTGCATACATGCAGCAGTGTGGCTTAGTGGAAAAGAATGATGCAGTAATGCAAAACAGCTCACAACCAAACGGAGGTGGGTTCAGTCTCATTTCCACCTCCAATTGGCTGCCTGCCCTCGAGTGAGTTGGCTCGGGACTGCCTGTTACCTCATCAGTAATCTACCTGCCGAAGACGATTGCAGTAAAGCGCCTGGCATGATGCCTAGTACATAAGAGAGATACAATAAACTATCCTAATAATGCCTGAAAGTAATTCATAGGTTGAGGGAGATTATAATGGGAGCTAAGCAAAAATCGCACTATCCAGGCAAATTCTCGGCGGAGCAGAGAAATAGACCGCTTTGGCCCTGGGCAGTGCTCTGTGTTTCATGACATGCTTCACAGTGAATCACTAGTCCCCTTGCTCACAGTCTTCTTTGCTTCATCCCAGTCTTTCCTTTCTCTCTTAGAAATTGTTCTCTGTCGTTCTTAGGAGAAACCCAGCATCGAAGGTCAGTTAAATTCATACACTTTAAAGAAATAGAAGCTAAAAAAAAAATGGAGCCCAAAATAAGCACTGATGAGCACAAAGAGTGAAAAGTTTTAAGAATCACTTGAGAAAGCCAGTGAAGTGTTTTAAAAATCCAAAATCACCTTGTAGCTGGAAGTTCATCACCTGAGTTCTTCAGATCTATCATGGTTGGGCTTTGTGAGTGACGGTAGAGAGGTTCTTAAAATCCTGGTATTTTATTCACAATTTTGTGCACATATACATTTTTTCTGGTGGAGACAGTATACAGTTTTCATTAGATTTCCAAAGGAATATTTGACCTCCTAAATTTTAAGACCTCTGGAACAATTCCTTGTAGTATAAAGTAATGGTGATACTCTACAGAACATATTCTAGTACTTGTTACCTAAAGTGTGATGCTCAGCCAACATCAGGGCAACAAATGGGGATTTGGTAGAAATGAAGAATCCTAGTTCATTGCATGACGATGTGTTGAATGGTTATTGCATTTTTACAGCAGTCTGATCTCAGGTGACTCCCACGCATACTGAAATTTGAGAAGCCCTGCTCCGGTGGTCAAGAGATCATGCCCTATATTCTGCATTTGCAGTCTAGCTCTGCCAAATGCATGTAACATTAAATTGTACCAAATCAGAGTCAGAATTCCACAGTCTGACAGCAATCGGTTGCTGACTGGCCAAATCATTGAACTCGCGTGGGTCTCTGCTTCATCTGTAAAGTAGATTAGTCCTCTTTTAGCTCTGAATTCTGGAGTTTACCTCATTTCCCACACACATTTTATCACCCCTTTTTATCAACTAAAATCATATCTTTTTGTCAACACTCACCAAATATCTCCTAAATCCTGAAGCCCACATTGTTTTGTTCTTCTTTGAATATCTATTAGACTTTCTGTTCCACTCACTCAATCCACCACTTTATTATGTGCTAAAGTTTCTTCTAGTTGTTTGATATATATTTTTCATTCCAGGTTGGGAGGCATCCAGGCTGTATCTATTTCTCCTCTTATTAATCTCACCGGGGCACATAGTAGATGCCCCGTAAATCTCTGAAGGCGGGGTACCATATTTTGAGACAGGATAACTACAGATGACACACTGGGTATTCTCAGTCTCGTTAATTTAGTCTTAAGTTGGTCATGTTAACCCATATATTTCATAGTGAGATAAATAAGAATTATGGTAAATTAAGCCATTCATAAATGTCAGTATAGGCTCTTAAGTCAATAAATTCTAGCTGTTGTTAACCCAGTTGAATAGGCTAGGGGAAAAGAAATGTATTAAGCTATCCTGCCTCTCCAAATTTGCTGGCCTTTAATAGTTATTTGGAAATGTATATATACATATATATGCACATATGTATCCGGATGTGTGTATGTATATACACACATATATTAGGTTGCCATGTCCAATATAACCAACAATACAAAACCAACATGGTGGTGCTTACTTGGAGAAATTTGTTCTTATTTTGACAACTTTTATTGGTACAAAAAATAACTTTACACAGATCTGAACATTTTGTCATTATAAAAGTATTTGTAAGGTAGAATGATAAAATGTTTTTGTATTATAATTTGTCACTTGACTTTTACCTTTTAAATACTTAGATACACGGTATGTGGGCCTCCCTTTGTGTGCTTACCCTGGGCTCTTTGTTAGGGGTGAGCCTGCCATCAGCCTAGGGGTGGTAGTGTCTTTCTGCCCTCAACTTCCTGTCACTTGTTTGGCCTCTTGATTTTTTGCCACCCTTTCATTTTGTACAAATAAGCAGACACATGCATATTTTTAAAGTTTCTTCATTTTTTACATAAAAGGTAGATTTATGGGTTGTATAATGGCCACCCAAAAGATATGTTTGAAGTACTGACCCCTGTGACCTTAAAAGATAACCTTATTTAGAAATAGTCTCCTTGGATAAGATGTGGCCTTACTTTATGAAATGTTAAGGGGACTTATCTAAGAAAAAGAGGATAAAAAACATGTATAAAAACGCATAGAGAAAAATGACACCAGACTCACAATTGTTAACCACACTTAAAACAAAAACAAAAACAAACTAAGCAAACAACTAGAACAGGAACGGAACCACGAAAATGGAGATCACGTGGAGGGTTAGCAACTGGGGAGTGGGAGGAGGAGAAGGGGAAAAGGTACAGAGAATAAGTAGTATAGACAGTAGGTAGAACATAGACAGAGGGAGGGCAAGAGTAGTATGGGCAATGTAGAAGCTAAAAAACTTATGATACTTGGACATGAACTAAAGGGGGGAATGTGGGTGGGAGGGGATGTGCAGGGAGGAGGGGAGTGAAGGGGAGAAATGGAATAACTTGTAATGGCAAAATCAATAAAATATATTTTAAAATGTGGTCATGCCAGAGTAATGTGGACTCCTAATTCAGTACAACTATTGTCCTTATAAGAAGAGAGAACTTTGGAGACAAAAATCCTAAAATGACAAAGGACCTAAGACTCCTGTATTAGAGAAGAAAGGACTTCATTGCTCACAGCACAGCAGCAATGCGATCATGAACCCATTCATGTCGGTCCCCTGGCCTGTAAGTCCCACAGGGGCAACAGGTCCCAGGTAAATGCTTGCACGTGCTGTGACTTGTGTGACAGAAAAGAAACCCCAAGCTTAGAGGATCTGACTCTTTAAACCAGACTGGATACATGTTTGCCTTTAAGTCTAGGGGGGAGACATTGTTTTTCTTATCCTGGGTAGTAAGTTTGTCTACGTTTTGCTGCAAAGTGAGAGACCTTCTCTACATCCCGAAGTTATTTCCTATGCCAACACCCTTGAAAAGACAGTTTAGAACAAAGGAAGTGTGTGGTTAGTTTCAAAAGGAGTGTGAGAATTCTAGCAATCTATCAGGAGTTCTCATCTAACAGTGTTACTCCTGATTCTGTGGGTAGTCATTCAGATCTTAACTATTTCTAAGGGCCATTTTATTAATGCAACTCTCTTTAAGCTATGCAAAGTTACAGCATCCTTCTCTGTGTGAGCGAGGCATTTGATTTTGAGGCCAAACCAAAAATCCTTCACCTCTGGACACAAATCACTGGAGAACTTCCACCCAACCATGGAAGACAGCAGTGGTTGGAAGTCAGGGAAAGCCCTTGGCCTCTGGAGCCCTGGAGCCTGAGTCTGAAAGAATGGAAAGCTTCTTCCAACAAAAGAGTCCTCACTCTCCTTACTTGGGAAATAGGATATTGCTTCTCATCATCTGGTTCTGGGTCATCAAGAATGTAGGAACAGCCTTTTTACACTCTAGACCAGGCACGATTTACATACACCCAGGTCTGGACAGGAGCTAAATCTCTGAGAGCAGCAGATGCTGCTACGCTCTTGTGTGCCTGCTTCAGAGCCAGGAGGAAGAACCCAGGAATTTGGCCAATTACTCACTTAGATCTCCAGAATCACATGCAATTACAGTGATTAACATTTTTCCTGCCATGTGTTCCAATTAAAAAATAAAACAAGGTAGCCTTACATTGGATAAAAGTTCAAATGTGGACTTTGTTATACCTTTCCAGGGTAAGTTCTTTAATGGCAGGTTGTGGGAGGGGTGACTGAGGTGTTTTTTTAAGTGGCAGCTTGTATTACCATAATCTGAGTTTCATTTTTATCTTTACTCAGTAAAATGGTTCTATTTTGCTCTTGTGAGAAATCAGTTAAAGATTATTTTCCTTTTTTTTTAAAAATCAGTTACCTACAATGCATCTTTAGATGCTATTATTTCCAGCACAACCAACAATACGAACACTGTGGTGTTGGCCTGGAGAGAGAAATCCAACAAGCATCTTCAAATGACGTCCTTCAACATCGCCCAGGGCGTTCATGCTTTTGATTATCACTCTCGGCTCAATTTAATTGGTATGTAAAATAAATCATGATAACTATGAGGGCTTCATAAAGAGTCTGGATGCCTATTTGTATGCACAAAGATGCCCCACCTTGTTGCTTTATTGCCAGAGAGACCAACTCGAGAAGCTTACGTTTTATTTCCTGAGAATGTCTGATAACGATGTATTATGAGGTGCAGTATACATGAGCCACACTGGGGTGAAAATACGGGAAAGGGAGACAATGCTTCAATTAGTGTTTTTATTTGCATTGTAAGGTAATAAAATGATACATAGAAAAAAGCCAGCATGTACTGTGTCTGCCATTCTACCGTTATCCTGACACCACCAAAAGCTTGACCCCCAAATACATCATTTTCTCACTCCTCATCCCTCACACACATGCACACGTGTGAACTGCAACATGTAGAATGTTTTCACCTTCTACAATACAACTGCTAATGATTTCTGAAAAATTTCAGATGATCCTAGCTCTAATTTATTAAAGGAGAATTTTTCTTTTGATGTAAAAGTATATTTTAGCTGAGGGAATAAGCTATAAAGGTTTTCAGGCATTAACTATGTAATAGGAAAACATTTGGGAAGCTGAATAATGTGATATGTGTAATATTAGTTCAAGCATTGTAGCAAATGTGAGGTACTGTTGCAAACTTAATAAGGGCAGTTAAAGAGAATGAACGCATAGGATCTAGAGAATGGGTCTTATTACCCCTCATTCAGTAATTATCATTCATATAAAGAGTATTGATAGACTCTTTGCTAGAGGGCTGATTCTCTAAATTGCCCGACCATAAGAGCTGACAACTCTGGTAAAAGATATCTTGAGTATGAACTCAGGAATGTGCCAGTGTTAAACTTTCAAGGAATGTTGTAGATTTATTAGAGTGTGCTGGAGAGTTTGGTGAACTGACTTTGGAAGGACTCAAATATCAGCCACTTTGCTTATTGATTGATTGATTGATTGATTGATTATTTTGACCCCTTTCCACTATCACAACTTTGTATATGGCACAGTGCTGAAAAAATAAGGGTGAATGAGCTCGGCTCCAGGCAGCCCTGAATGAGGACACCACCAGAAGGCTCCTCTGGTCTCTCCACAGACCCGAGGAAGCCCTGTGCTCCTTGCTCCTGACCTGCTTAACTAATGCAGCTGATTTATGGTAAAAAATACCTTGTTCTCTTAATAGAGCAGGTCAAAAATATTTTTGTGTTTCTTGTTTCCTTGTAAATACTCAATTATTTACATGACAGTGAATAATTGTTTGCTTCTATTTTGTAATTATTTTGGAAACTTTAAGTATTGTTTTAGTCCTTTCTTACTCCTAGGATAACTTGAATATGTCTATTAAATCCATTCCTAGGGTGTGCTGGCCAGAGAGCAGAAATACAAGGACTAGAAAGCAGGATTTTGTTCCCTCCTGGCTGGGCAGCTGGTTGCTTCTTAAATGGGACTGTGTTGTCCTTTCACATCATGAGACCCCTTCCCCCTGGTCCCTCGGTTTCAGCTCTTTCATATGACAGAGCTCATGCCCTAGTACTCTGGGCTGTTAGGCATAGACGAGATTTTCCGTCCTTTAAGCCAGGGTACATTAGCGCTCAGAAAGCATTTATTTACAGATATGTGATCAATTCATTTCAAAAAGAAAATGTGGGTTATGCATGTTATTAAAAAAAACTTTTTCTTGTGATTCTGATTAGCGACTGCTGGTATTAACAACAAAGTTTGTCTTTGGAACCCCTATGTCGCCTCTAAGCCGGTTGGCGTCCTCTGGGGTCACTCAGCCAGTGTGATAGCCGTCCAATTTTTTGCTTCAAGAAAACAACTTTTCAGCTTCTCCCAAGATAAAGTAAGTGGCATTGTGCATTTATTTAGTTCTGCCTCCCCAGTTCTATCCAAATCTACCTCTGATCCTGGAGTACTCTGAGAGCTGGTCTAGATTTTAAGATATATTGTCTAACTACTATGTCTTTGGGAATCTAATATATTTGGAAATGATGTTGATGGTCACTTAACAATTTTCCTGGGTAACACGGCAAAGTATTTCATTAAAATTTTTTTCAAGCCATGTACTCATAAATTTAATTCTTATTATTGAGCTCCTAATATTTCACACCTTAAGAGTTTCAAAAGTGCTCACAAATTCAGTAGAAAACAATAGAAATTAGGTGAAGAAATGTCCCTTTGGTAAGACACAGCCAGTTAGCTATCATTGCTCTGATATTGAAGAGACTCAGTAAGTAAGAAATTAAAGTTAATATGAAGAATATCAAGTACATTAGGAACATTTCAATTAAGTATATCAAGTCCTTTCTCTTTGATATTGATGGGATACTTTAAATATGAAGGAAAAAACATGGCACTTTGAACCAGCTAGTCCCCATTGAATCCTGACCACATTACTTAGTTACTCATCTCCCCTCAGGAAAACTTCATCTCTAAGAATCTTGTCATTGGTCCCTCTGTAAAATTTCCATTGTACATGATGCCTGATGTCTAGATCCAGTTAACACGTGACAGATTTCAAGACCCCTGGTTGTGAAGAGAAGGGTAGACAACGAGCTCAGGGGGCACAACGTCTGAGACTCTCTGAATCTGACATTTTGCTTTATTCTAAAGTGGCATGCAGAAGCCAGAAGTTTATCTTCAGTTTCTAATCTCACTTCGGGCATGAGTCCTGTGAAATGAACGTGTTTTACTGTGTGCCTGTCACATAAATCCTCTCTCTCTCTTTTAAACTTCACCCATCAACTGCCAATTCTTGTTGGTTAAACCATCAAAATATGTCTTATATCAGATTTTCCTCTTAACCAACACTGCTCGAATTCCAAATCTCATCTTCTTCTGCCTGAAGTACTACAAAGTTTTCCTAACAAGTCTTCCCACTTTCAGACTGGTCTGATTTCAACCTGTCCTCCAGTAAGAAAAATTCTTCAACTTCTCATCTTTGCCCTTGGCCTGAATATCAATTTTAAAATGCTTGAACTTTTATACAAAGCCTTTCCTTCTTTCTTCTTGCATCCATTTAATGCTCCAGCCTCATCACACTCCTGCGCTGTCTCAGGGATTCGCAGCCTGCTCTTCCTTCTGCCCTCAGTCTCTTCTCCACCATGATCAATTGGCAAAGTCCTATTTATCCTGGAAGTTTCAGACCTTTTGCAGTCCTTCATGCACACCTGGGTGGTTCTCTGCACTCCCATTCTACCTTTGAGTCCCTTACTAGAGTTTGTGTCATGTTGTACTGAACTGTGATTAGCTTCCTTAGGCAGGGTCAGCATCTTTTTCCCTTGTATAGTGTCGCAGTGCTTGGCTCCTTGCAGTGTTTGTTCAATGGTCATTTGTTAGCAGCTTGAAGTGAAGACACATCACTGTGAACCTCAAACACCAAAGAGACTCAAGGTGAATGTCTTTTGGATGCCCTACTCAGATTTAGTTGTTTTACTCTTTAAAACCTTTTAGCACTTTATTTTAATTTCCATTATTGAATTTAAGACAATCTAATTTACACACTCTGGGTTGTATATGTACATTGCATCTTTCACTAGATTGAATGATTGACCGCAAAGATTTTTTGTTGGATTCATTTTTTGTGTTTCCCAGGACCTCGCAAATATTAGTGCACATTAAACACATGTTAAATATGTAATATATGGAATAGTGTAATTGTCAACTAACTGATAGAATTTGTGAAGTTAGGGACTGTGTCTTTTTTTGATTGTGCATACATACAGTAGGTCCTCAATAATTCTTGAGGAACGAATGCATTTGTTTAGTAGTTAAATTAGCAAATCTCTATTAAACATAAACACACAATAAATACCAGGTATTTTATCATTACACAGTTGTCTGAAAAGTTTTATAACTTTAAAAGCAAGCAAAAAAATGTTTTTAGAGTCAGAATTGGTTGTGTGCAGTTATTATCAATGTGAAGACTATCTGACTTCTTCCAAGGCATTTTTAACATTTCATTTTTGCTTTGACTTCTAAACCATTACATTATAATAAAGCTTGTCATGCTTGCTTTTACATTAGTCTAACGCCATTTCCCTTTGATAAATGCACAATAATCTCAGTCTTTATGTCTTCCCAAGAAACAACAGCGTTTTCTCCTACCAGGTTAAGCCTCTGCTTTACTGTCATACAATTATTTTGGATATTTTATAAGACTGGGGATCAGTTAGAGAACAGAGAAAATGAAAGAAAGTGTCTTTTTTCCAAAAGAGTCTTTGAGTGAACCAACCACATTTTGGTCGATGAGTTGCTGATGAGGGGATTTTTAGAGCAGAGTAGTTTACTCATATATCTAAATAGGTTCCTCCCAAGCTGATCTGAAACCAGTTGTCTTTTGGAAGACTGTTCTATGGCCACTTTCCAGGGATGAAGAAACAATACATTTATCCCTGCAGAATTTGGGAGCATACTAAATAATTGTCCAGTTGCGTTTTGTTTTGGATGCCTAAGCTGTTTCATAAGACAGCAGTCACTGCTGGCCAGGCCCTGCTGCAGGCCAGCAACTTGGTCCTTTTAAGGAGGAATCACCCTGGGGAGTAAGAGGATTTTCAAACCCCAGGGGGACTTTCTCTGTTGGGGGGCGGTTGATATTCCATCCAGTGAACCTGAACCAATTTTCTATTGCTCTTAACTCTTCTCTCCTGGGCTACTAATCCTAACTTGACCACTAGAAACAGATCAGTTTGTAATTTAATCCTTTGTCTGAGGTCCTGGTTTTGCCCAGAGCCCTGTTTTTGTATTGGAGACCCACGGTTGGTAAGGAAAATACATTAGACTTTTGTGTTGGTGTCTACGTCTCACCCGTTTGTCATCCTTTCCCCTCTGTGTCCCCTCCTTCTCAACTTCCCTCTATTTACCCAGAAACGGGCATTTTCATTGTCTCTTAATTATCTACCTGTGAGCAGTAATGCCTTCCCATAAAAATTAAAGTTAAGAACCATATAGTAAAAAAGGGAATACTCTTCTTGCTAATTTCCCCTTCAGATCAATTCCTCTCCTCCCGAATAGCTATTACTAACAGTTGAAGGTGTATCTTCTCATATTATTTTATTACTATTTAATATTATATAGTTATGATACTTTACAATATATTAACATATATCCCATTCTATGTGTGTACACAAATACAGCAAAATATTTATTATTAGTTTTCTGGTAAATGGTATAACATGAGTCATATTTTCCTACAACTTGCTTTTCCCCAATAAGCTCTCTTAGAGATTTTCCAATACAGTAGTTTATAGTATGGGTGGCCATAACTTAGTGACTTAATCACCTTTATATAAAAAAGATATTGTTTCTATTTTTTCACCTTTATAAACCAATTATTACACACACACACACACACACCATTAACATTTTATAAGTAAATTTCTTTGTGGTAAGTTCCTAGAACTTATGCTACTTACAGGGTCAAAGGGGATGCACTTCTTAAAGAATTTTCATAAATGCTGGTGATTTCAACTCAGAAATGTTGCACTAATTGGAATACTCTTCTGAGATGTAGAAAGGTCCTCATTTCCTCAGGTTTTCCTCATTTCCTACTATTCTTATCAATAGTAGATACCAATATTTTGTTCCCCATTTTGTGACCCTGATGACAAAATATTATGGTAAATTTTTTTCAAATATTTATTGACCATTTATATTTTTTGCTTTTTGTATATTATCTGATCATGTTTTTTATCTTATTAACTAGACTTTGTGTTTTTCTTACTGATTTGTGTTTTAGAAATATTTTGATTACTCTTTATTATGTAGGGTGCAAATATATCTTTTAAGCCCCCTTATGTTTGTTTATGTCATTTTTTCCTCATTAAAATATTTTAAATTTTTTATAAAGTTGAGTCTAAGAAGTTATTTTCTTTATGGCTGTGCATTGCTCATCTATCTAGCTTAGGAATGTCATCCACACCTCTTACTCATAAAAATACTCTTTAATTTTCTGCTGATACTTTTCATATTGTGTAGGTTTTTTTGCATTAAACTTTGTCATTTATTTGTGTACAGCTGTTATTTTCTACAAAGAGATATCCAAGATTATTTTTGCAATAGTTTGTTTCTCTCACTGGTTGGGAATGCTATTGTTTTCATCATTTGAATTACTGTCTATACGCAAATTTATTTCTAGATGCTTTATTTGTTCCATGATTCTACTTGTCTTTTTCAACACTAATTTACTGCCTTCACCCAGCATAGCTTTACTGTGTGCTTTACTGTCTGGAAGGGCAACTCCTCCTTCTTGTTTCTCTTCTCCAGTTTTAACTGTTGTCTCCCATTTTATACTCCCAGGTAAATTTTAGGGTCAATAAGCCATATTCATATATAATTGGAATTTCATTGAATTTGATGTTTAACATCTTTAACATATTGAGAAAGCATATCCTGTACTTACCCATTTATTTATTCTTTTAGCTGTTTTTCAGGAAAAAATATGCATGCAGTTGTTGTCTATTCTTTGTTCAGGTTTTTCCTTTATAGTTTAGGAGACACACTTATCATTTATATTCTTACCTTTGAAAGGGGTGTTTCTCATGGGGGTGTGTCTACTTTCTATGTAACCCGTACATTAAGTTTTTAATTTTAGCATACTTTTATTTAGCATAGTCTTAAAATGTTTAAAATAAACATTGCTTGGCAATTTTGAATAGTCTTTCATTGTTCGTTCATTTTGGGGATTTTGACTTTCTGCTATTTAATATGGTATTAATTATTTTACATTCTTATTTAATAATGTCAATATCTGGAGTCCTTGGTGATTCACATGTGATATTTGCTGTTTTGGTGATTCTCCCTCAGGGTGACTTGTTCCCTCTTATGCTTGGTTATCTTTCATTG